CATTTATTTTCTTCAATTCTAAATATATACAGGAGGTATTTATTTTTTTCATATTTCAACGGAGTTTAATATAATTTTTATAGCAACTATTTTTATTTATCCTACAATTTTAACTTCCTTAAGTCTTCTTTATTCTTTTTTTTTTTTTCAAAAACACATTTCTTTGTATTTTATTTTTTTAATTGTATAAACAGCAAAATATATGTTAAAAAGAAGAAAAAGTACTAATAAAACTATAAAACAGTTTTCTTAGATTATTCTAAATATCAGACCATTAAAATATGATTGGAAGTTATTAAGTAAAGTTATTTTATCATCACTATATTTATAAGTTATTTTATCATCACTATATTTATAAGTTATTTTATCATCACTATATTTATAAGTTACTTTATCATCACTATATTTATAAGTCATTTAACTAGGTCCAGTTGAATTTTTCGATTGATGTATAATTATTTTATATAAATGTTTACTTTGGTTTAGTTGAAAATTAATAAGTTGTTGGAGGTGTTTTTTTTTTAGTATGAATATAGAGCCATTTTGATTGATAAATATTTCCTAGTTACCGTTAAGTTCCAGATACTTAGCTTTTCAATAATCAGTTAACAATGCGAATGCAAATTAAACGAAATTGTGCAATTTCGTAGATTTTTTGATTTTGACTTTGATTGAGGAGCAAAGTAAAGTTGGAATCACTGTGGGATTACGTGAGACTTTTCTTTATAGCTAATTTAAAAGGAGAAGTTGATTAAAAAACCCTCATTTCATAAAATTTTTGTTTTACTAGATATAAAAGGTTCCTTGAATATTGATAGTTTTAAGGCCTTAACAGCATTTTAAAATAAAATTGTCGCAAAATTCACGAAACTTTACCTTTTGTAAATTATGCGCACTGAAATCCTTACTTAACCCTTAATTCAATAAAGTTACTATTCCAATACCCTATTACTAATACATGTCTGAGACCACGAAAAAAAAGATTTAAAAAAATCATATTTTAAAATTGAGAGTTTTTGCCACCTTACCATCTGAGGCATAGTGCGCCCGTGATCACCTTTTTTATTAACTGTGTACACGAAATGGCTGTGATAGTAGAAAAACTTCTAAAATAAGGTACTTATCAATTTTTATTTAAAATCAAATAATAATTTTAATACATTAATATAAGAAGATAAAATATTTCAAAAAAAAAATGAATTTATTTCTGTAGACATCTAATAAAATTTTCTTCCGTGAAAACTTTTGCTTCCGTGGTACCAATAAGCTTGCGCTTAAAATAACAATCATAACTATTTGATGCTTTTTGATGACAGTTTCAAGTCTTTTAAATGAAATTTTCAAATATTAGGCACTTCTACATAGTTTTTTCAATTTTTTTATTTTTTGTTCAATATATGCCCAGAACTTTTCAATAATTCTCATTTTTGGGCAGTTTGGAGGATTTGCTGTTTTAGGTACAACTCTCAGGTCATTTTGTTTACAACATTTCATCGCCAGTTTACTATAATGACTTTAAGGGATCGTTCATAATTTACGTAACGCAAAATTTCACAATAATCAAAACAAAAAAAGATCAAAAGTTTTCCCTCGCAGAGTCTTAATTTAAATAAATAATCAAAATAGGAAATTAAGTTAAATAAAAATCGCCACGTATAAGAGCTTAGCATCTCCTACTCCTGTTCTTAAAATATTTTTTGCGTTGCGTAATTTATGGACAATCCCTAAGGTAAATCAGGTCTATATCAGGTCAGAACACATGTCTACATTAGATCAGAACACATGTCTGCTATCATGTGAGAAGCAAAAAAGATTTTTGTAAACACTCTTTAGCATATACTTTATCAGAAAATATGTGGTTTTTTACCACTCCTGCAAATAGCTTGCCAAACCAAGGCTTTTATAGCAAACTTATGTTTTACGTTTTTAAATATCTTATCTGCTTTCCCTCTATATTTAACAATATATTAGGTAGTACCAGGAATTTGATGACATTTGTAATTAATATAAGTTTCGTCATCTTTTATAATACAGTATTTATCTTCAATAATAATAATAATGAATACTTCAATAGTAATACTATTGAAGTATTCATTATTATTAGTCATAAAACTTTTGGCAGCCGGTTCTTAGACTTTTTTTTTTACTTTAAGAATGATTGGACACTTTTTGTGATTTGAAAGAATGAAGACCATGTTTATTTCGAACTTTTTCAACAAAAATGTGAGAAAACTCGCATCTTATCGCGCGTTCCCTAATTTAGAGGCTTGGATTATACTTAAAACAGTTAAACAGTTTTATATTTTGAAAAACTTTCTTTCTTCCACCACCAAACTTGCGTTTTATCAATTTTGTTTGGGAAAACGTTGAATAAAACGACTAACGGTGTAGAGATGTAGTTGCAACTTTTTTGCTATTTTTTTCTAAGCATTTATGCATAACTTTTTCTCTAATGTCTTCTTTTTTTGTCATTTCTAAAACTTATTATAAGTTTAATGGAAAAATATTTTATTGAAACAGCAGCAAGTTGTAAACAAAATAAAAAAAAAATTAAAAATATATTAATACAACCACTGAAAAAAATGGCGCATTTATTCTTTCACATTTATTTTGTGTACACGCTGTATATATTTTTTTTTATATTGTTTATATTGAGAATTTTGTTTATATTGAGATCAATGGTATAAAAACTGTTTAAATAGTAATTTATTAAATTTAAAATTAAGGTTAATTTACTCATTTGAAATCATACAATATTTAAATACTGTGCGATTTACAAATTATTCGAATTCTTTTATTTGAAATGAAGCATGAAATTTGAAGCATGATTTTATCAGCTTATTATGTCCAAACATAGTCATCAAAGTCTAGACAGTTTAAGAGCGCTTTTGTTTATCTTATTGTTAGCTTTTCTTTAGAACCCCAGCCTACCAATGAGTGCACACATTTTGTAAACAAATGCGCATTAAGAAGAATATTTACAAAAAGATTATTGATTTATCCTTGATTTTTGCAAATGCCTCGTCTTAATTGTTGCATTTTTGGTTTTGGATCTTCTTGAAGAAGTATAAATGTTTTTCTATTTGAAATATTTTCTTCCGATGATGTTTATAACAAAGAATCAAAAAGAAAAGTTTTACAAATTATAAATAAAAATACATCTTGAGTTATAATATATTATAACTAAAATATGATATCAGATAATTTTCAAAAAATAATAGATTATTGCATGAAATTTGAAATTTGATGAATATAAACTTAGATAAAAATACTAAAGAAAATATATTATAAACTTATTGTTTCCACGTTAAGGGCTGGATGGATCCAAAAATTGGGGTTTTTTTGTCCCCAAGCTCCAATCACAGCTACTCTTTGCAAAACATTCTCATTTGACATGACCTACAAAAGATTGGAGTTTGTACAATGCATGTAAGTGTCAAAACTCAAATATCTAAAAATCCAGTATCCACCACTGATATATAAATGTATATATATGTATATATATACATTATGTATATGTATAATACATATATATATATATATATATATATATATATATATATATATATATATATATATATATATATATATATATATATATATATATATATATATATATATATATATATATATATATATATATATATATATATAAGTCTTGATAATATTATATAAGTCTTCATAATATTTCTAAATTTTATAAATAAAATCCCGAAAAAATTATTAAACTACTTTAAATAGTTAAACCAATTGCTTTATTCATTACATTATATGATATTATTATTTAAAATAAAACAGTTATACAACTTTATCTGATTTCACTTTATTATTGCATCTTTCAATGCTAATATATATTTTTTGGTTATCAAAATAGCCTTTATTAAATGTCTAATATTTATTCGACGGAGTTTAAAAACCCTTTCTAGATTTCTTTTTCCCAAACAAATTTGTTCTTTTCAATATAGAATTGATTTTATGCAAATTAACAGCTCCTGTTTTATGCAAGTTTATAGCTCCTTTGAGTACGATAATGAGTGAACACAAAAATGAAGTGGTAAAAGATGGTCTTGAAAATTGATAGCCACTTTTTTAAACATCTCGGTAAATCAAAATAACAATTTTATTGAAAAATAAGATAAACCTCAACTTTTTAAAGCAATTCTGCCATCAATTGGCAGCTTATTTTTACATAAAAGTTTTGGTTGACTTCCTAAAAGCTAACTCTTCTAGTAGTAAAAAAAGCATCAGATAATACAGACCAAAGATCATCTAAATTTTTTAAATTACTACATTTTTTATCACTATTATAATTTCACTCTTCAATCTCAAAAACCTTGATTTATTCGTCAACTTTTTCCGCCAACAATTAAGTCAATTTTGCCAACTTTTTGACTAAAGTATTTTTCGATAAAAAGCACAACATATGTATCAACCAAAATGTCGCACCAATTTTTTTTCTGTTTTCTGTTTTCTAAATATGATTAGCAAGGTTATATCCTACAAGAGGTGAGGATCTGTGAAAAAAATTCCTTCTAATCTGCAACTATAAATTTTGGTTCAACTTCAGTATAAATAGCTTTTATAACTTTTTTCTATTTACTTGAATGATAGATTCGTATCATCTTTTAAAAATATGTTCTTTGAAAGCTAATCTCTGATATATGAAAGGTAGCAAAGATCGTTACCCAGTAAGCACATGAACGTTTTTAAAACGTTTTTTTAACTAAGAAAAAAAACGTTTTTTAAACGTTCTGAATGGCAATACCTAAAAAACGTTTTTAAAAAATCGTTTAAAAAACGTTCTAAAAAAGTTGTTTAAAAAACGTTCTAAAAAAACGTTTAAAAAACGTTCTCAAATAA